TGTAATTGGTTTCGTCCAATGGAAAATGATATTTGTATTCGTCCAATGGGAAGTGGTGGGGGAAATTAGTAAACCCCGTTTTTGGTGTCTTTATTTTAAAGCGTACGTATTGAGATTTTTATGCTATTATGTTACACAACACATCACTTTCGCCACTTGCGGAGTTTCAAACTCCGTTTCGGCAGAGTTTGAACTTTGCCAATTTCGCAGAAATGCGAAATTGCAAAAGTCACGTGATGCCGCCACTAAAGCGGACTTTAAAAATCTCCGATTTACGGAGTTACTTATGATACGCTAGTCTCTGTCATAAAAAAAGTAACGGGCCCCATGAAATACCCTGCGTCAGCAGGGTATTTCATGGGGCCCGTTACTTTTTTTTGTGACAGAGATTACCGTATTATAAGTAGGAAGATTTATATTTATTTATATTTCCCCTTATATCATAAATCAATGTAAGATAACAATACACCATTAAATAATTTTTGTTCATAGTCTTGAAAGGTTAAAGTAAAAATTTTTACAAGAGTATAGGTTAGTTCTACAATTAGTTTATTCTACAGGGGATAGAGTCTGATTAAGATTTTTGGCTTAAGCAAATGTTAAAATCACAAATCGTACTACTACTTTTTACAAAATCTGCGCAGTTAGTAAAATTTTAAATTTCTATTAATCTCAACGTAAGTAGTCTGATATACAAAACTATCTAGTAACCCAAGTTATTTGTAAGTATTGCGATTTGACGTTGCCTTTCCTGAAATCTTTGGCACGACAATCAATTAGTCAATATTAAGGATTAGAATATCTCTAAATTCGTAGAATTAATTTGTTTATATTTAATAAATCTACTGCCTCTTTTAATATTTAGGTTTACTTATTGATAAACTATTTCATGTTTAGTATCGATTCATGATATTATTTAAAGTAATAAAATATGGATGTTATCAAATTAAAACCAGTAAATAAATAATTAAGTTTTCCCTATGGTGAACTTAAACTCAAAAAATTGTAATAGTACATAGTTGAATTCACAAATATAGTAAAAATTTTATTATTCACTTTCAGGTTTCTAATTTGGCATCACTCATATAATATAAATAAAAAAACAATACTTTTTCAAGTCCATAGCAATTGGTACTAACGATGCAATTATATTTTTATCTATCAGTAAAAAATTAATATATGAATCAAAACATGGGTTGTTACATAAGATCCATGTATTAAAAAATTATTATCACCAAACATTCTAAAAAAAAAAAAAAACCCCAGCTCTACGATAAATATTTTACTAACGGAAAATCAGGTATTGTTATATGCCCATAGCTAAATAGAACTAGACAAGTTGACATTTAGAACTGACCTAAAAAAATTTAATGAGAGGTAGTTGTGTGGGATATTAGATTATGTAATTTATAAAATTTATGTTTTTTTCTTTTCTTTTTTTTTAAAAAAAAATTGTTTAATAAATTTCAACAATGTTATAAATATAGAACAGTTTATTTTTTGTATTATTAAAATCTATTGGCTGGAGTTGAAATGAGAAGTGAATGCATTTCAAGCCTTATTCTGCTGAATTTTAGGAATGGTTTGATTTAGAAAATGGACTAAGACGAGCTGACGATTTAATAAAAAAAGTTCGTTGTCAAAAAAATTATTTTATATGCACTACTATAATTTTAAGAAATTTAGATTCAGAATATCCTATAAAAGGGCTTGTTGAAAGTAGTCAATTTTATTTCTATATTTTTATATTTTATTGGTTAAATTGATTACGTCAATTCAAAATTTCGTTTGAGGAAATTATTGATGAGAAATTTTCATTGAAAAGTAATTTCGCCACTCAGAAAAAGGTTAACATTATTAAATGACATTATCTGAGGCGTAAGATTATAAATTAAATTTTTTTGGATACATATAATTGACTTGTTCCAAGTTAGTTCGATATTAATAATGCAGTAGTGACAAATAAAACTTGGACAATCGAAACTCCTTAAAGACCGAAGGTATAAAAAAAAAATAATAATTTTTCATTAAAACCAAATTCACAAATTTGAAGTCTTAATTTTAATCATGATATAGTAATAAGTAGTCAACTATAAAAAATCTACAAATCGATAAGACAAGAAATCCAATAACTTTATCTTGCCCATTTACACTTTATTGCTGAATTCTTTAAAAAGGTAATACCGTACCACACTGCCTTTAGTACCCCCTTATTTAATATCCTCCTTCAAATAATACCCGGATACATTACAAAAAAAAATCTCGAAAAAATTGTATAAGACCCGGGTATTAAAATCCAAGATATTAAGATTTGATTGATAGATTAATTAAAAATTGATTCTACAACAAAGCCTACCCCAAGTCACAATACCCTCCAAGTATAGTACCCACTCTTGGTTAAGTAACATTACCATGTATAATACCCTTTTTTTTATTAGACCCGGGTACTAAAGGCAATGCGGTACAGTAACATATGCCAATAAATAACGTCACCAACAAGATGTTTTTCATAATCTGTAACAAGATAAGTCGAGAGAATGTGTAGGCATTACCAAGAGTATTATGATAAAGACCTGTTGCACTTTTTTTCAAAACTCCATTTTCCTAAACTAAATCAGGTTTAGCAGTTGCATGCGAAAGATAATGGATGAGTTGGATACAAAAAATAAATTTTTAAAAAAGCAGGAGCTATTCCCGGGGCACCATGGCAAAAGCTATTATTTTTGAATATTCATTCTATTTTAGAGTAATAAAATAACAATATATAATTGAAGAGGTTTAAGATTAGGATGGTTACTGAATGAGATGATCTTCAGTTGATTGTGTATCTGCAGGATATTTTTTACTTTTTAGAACAGATCCTACAAGTAGGTTGCTGGTGCACATATAAATTTAGTAACTATATTAAAATATAACATTAAAAATTAAATTTTTGTTTATAAATAATAAAGAAATCGAATATTTTATATTGTATCAATTGATAAACAATAACTATGCTAAATACAAACAAAAGAAATTAATTGAGCTTCTCTTAAACATTCAATCTATTAATAATAAATTATTCTTACTAGGGCTTTCAGATCTAAGGTTCAGTTGAACTAAATTATTGAAGTATTATTAATTTGTAATCCGCGATCTATAAATCCTATTTATTTTTATTTGCAAGCTTATTATATAATAAGATATAATATATACTGTATTATCAAAAAAAAGTTCCTTTTATTTTATCTCCGGATAACTCCTTTTTCATTTTCTGATTTCGAAATTTCAAAAACAAATATAGGACTTTTCAAACTCCCATTTATTTTCAAATTAAGTTAACTGTGAAACCCACTGATTAAATTGGCATGAACAAATGAAAATTAAATAGCTTTTCTTAAATACTTTAATTGGTGAAATAAGAAATAAAACGAATAATTTATCATAGTAATTAAAATACTTAATTACATCTTTTTCATCAAATCATAATAAGAATAAATTAAATATTCAACAGATAAATTATTAACTCAAAATTAGATCAATATGAATAATCGAGTGTTAAAAACTTATCTTAAAAAATCAGTATACTTGGGCTAAATCAGCATAAGTAAAATGAGAAGGTTAATAACTTAAAATTTTCGTTAGTTAAACTAATTAGCAAAAATGATAAACTAAATAATATGAAAGCAATAGCTTAAATACTTAAAATAATTTGTTCAAAATATATAATTATTTAAACCTTATTTAATCAAGTCTTTTTTATTTTAAATTCAAAACCTTTATTTTTTATTTATTACAACAATGTAGTTGCCTAATAAACAATTTTTAAGATAGTTACGAAAATTAAAAGTATTCAATATAGTTTAAATATGATTGGCTCGGCACTCTGCACCATTACCTGTATTTGGTGCGCCAGATGCACCGCCCATATTAGTGCATCATTGGCGTCGCCAAGTACCCCGCACCAGCAATCCTACCTGAGCATATAAGAAACTCGTATTTTGACGGAAAATCACGGGTTATAACATTACGTGATTGGTTAATTTATGTAGATCAAAGCATGATTATTGACCAATCAAATCAATTAAAAATTCTTTCGATACGAGAAATAGAACGAAATAACCATTATTATTAACAAAAGCGAAACTTTTTTAACACCAAAGTAATTCTACTCTATTTATTAATCATTACATTTTATCAAAAACATATTATATGTTATTGCCCTTAGTTTATACTAATATATATTCCTCCATATAGGTAAAATAAGCCTTTTTAAACGTTTTATATTGCTTAGCCTATTTAATAAAGACGGAAAATCTTTATATTAGTATAATATTCACGTCCAACAATTTATAAATCTAATATTTAACTTTATAATTTAAACGCGTAGAAACTCAATGAACTCTGCCAATTGCCAACGCCTACCTTTGTTCTTATGAAAACTCTTTGGGGAAAGCGATTGAAAACGATTAGAAAAGATTTTCTACTAGAAACACTCAAAACGAAGCTATTTTATTAATAAATGTGAGTACCTTTAGTTTAACTTTACATTGGTAGTCAAATAGTGAAATTTGTCGGTTTTTAGACTACAACCGTATATCAAATTTTTAATTGACCATATAAATAATTTGTGTAACAATGATTTCGGAATACGAGTTTCTTATATGCTCCCTACCTGCAAATCATTTAAATAATTCATTAAAGTATGGTCGAGCTAATCATTCACAATGAAGAATGATAGTAATAATTCTAGTTACAGTAGAAATAAATAAATTTAAGAATTTGATTATAAATACATAAATATATACAAACCAACACCATGTATGGCACCAATATATTCGGTTACATACCAATTCCACATTAAAGCTGGACCTGTATTTTTATAATAAGTAATTGTGCCATTCCAACCATCTTTAATAATCAGTTCAATGATTTCTTTCAACTTTTCATTTCCAATCCTTGCCATAATTTCCTCATTATTTTTAAAATATTTTCGAATAAGGATTAAAGCATAAATATACATACCCAGTTCGACTGTATAATAATTCATTCCAATCATCCTTTAATATCAATGGATGTTATTTTTTTAAGAACAATATCAAGGTATTTTGGTAATTCTTGAATACTTTTTCAATGGTTTCGTAAACCACAACGGCCAAAGCCAATGGTCACACATACTACCTAGAAACAAACATGATCCTGAGAGCTTCTACGAACCTCTGACAGGGAAGCAAATGGATCTTTGATGCACAAATTTGATACTTTATCTCCTTCAATTGTTAGGTCAGGAAAGAGTTGATGTAAATGAAAAAGCATAAAAACAATTCCTCCATATCATATAATAGTATTTACATAAGTTATTAGCATTTATAAAAAGATTCACTGTTATTTCTTGAACCACAAATTTTACCTTAAACACACTAAAATCATGAGTATTATTAGCTTAATAAATTTTTCGAATTTTGCTGTATCGCATTCGTTAATATTTGGAAGCGTTAATATTTTGTAAATAGCGTTCCTGACATCGTTAATTGACATTTCTGCGTAAAAGTATTTATTTAAGTTATATTTATTTTTGTGTACACTATCATGTTATTTAAGGTAAATTTAGGCTATAAAAAGTAAGTCATAAGTAACATGTACGTGGGTACGTGATATTTATCAGTTACTGTTACGTATTTTTAACGTTAAATGGCGATAACACACAAAAAACGAAAATATAAAAAGGTTATTTAAGGCACACCACGAAAGAGTGCTACAAGGTTTAGTCAAACAGCCAATAAGAGGTGATTAAAAATCGCATGTTGGAGACATTACCTCATCAATAAACTTTCTATGTACTGTACTTGTAGAGTTTTTTTTTTATCGAATTTTGATCTAGTCATTGAGGATCCTTTGACATCTCTTAGAAAATTAACCACTACTACAGTTTTAAAACTTTGAGCGAAGGCTTAATAAAATTTTGCTGTTCTTAGAAAGTCATTGAAAAGTAAACAAATAACTTATTTCGGAAACAAATTTCTTTTTGCAGAGCCGATATAAATTCCTAAAATGTTTAGGTAACCTAACAAAAAATAAAATCGTAAGTCCAACAATAACCTTTTCTTGTATTATCTCATTTTATTTCTTTTGTTCTCTCCATGGCTGCAGAAATTTCGTATAATTTGCCTGGTAGGGATTAAACAACCATTCTAATATCGTCCACAAAAAATAACTTGTGTCATAACTCAGTGTTGGTTATTTTTTTTATAAGGTGTTTTTTAATATCTTTTGACCATATTTCTAAGCTTTAAATTGATATAATTTTACTCAAAAAGAATAAGAGATTCAATCTGCTCATCGAAATCAAACCCCGTAGAAATTCCTTTAACATCTATATAAGAGTCTTAATTTTCAAAAATGACAGTTTTTTAGATCGTTCTACTGTATATTTGTTATAAAAATTTCTAATACTGATATAACAATTCAAGTTAATATTTGATCAACTACGTTTTTTATGGGCGATACCGGATATTTGACCGAAACCACTGTAATCTTTTAATCATTTCTAATACTTAGATTAATAAAATTTCTTACCAGAGGGATGGTTTCGTGCCGGTTCTGATCCAATATATTATCTTATGGGAGTTGATTCTGCAGTATTTTGTGAGAATGCTGTAAGTTTTGTTTGATTTGCTATTTTTTAATTTGTACATTTGATGTTAATACCATTTTTCTTTAACTAGTCCGGAAAAAGTGGATTTATAAAATTTGATCCACTTTTTGAAGGGAAATTAACTCCTGGAGTTTTCGGCACCTTGATGCAAAATTTTATTCCTCGAGAGTTTTTAGGCAAACGAATTCAACTAACATGCTTAATAAAATACGTCGTAAGAATTTAATGATCATTTTTGAATACATAATTTCATTTAATTTATTTATTTGCTTATTTATTTTAGGATGTCACAGGCTGGGCTGGTCTGTGGATGCGAGTTGATACAAAAACAACTTCAACTAACGCTGATATGTCAGGCCAACCTCTTAAAGGTAACTTTACTGGGCTTATTTTGTTTAAATGAACCTGTTTTAATGACAATATTTATAGGTACCGGTGATTGGAAAAAATGTGAATGTGTTTTAGATGTTGATCAAGACGCGGTCAATCTTGCTTTTGGTGTTTTAGGTCGCTCTCAAGCTTCAATCTCAATGTGATTAGCAAGTGATCGTAATAGTGCTCAAGCATAATTATATTTACAAAAAAATTTTGCCGAAAA